AAAAACGTGTCGTTTTACTTAAAAAAAAGTAAAAGGTGGAGTGGATCTCCCAAATAACGGAGATATTTAAGATGAAAAAAATTATCGGCACACCCTGTACATGTAATACGTGGGCCACACGTCGTTTCAACACGAAGACGGATTCAAGTATGATATCAGCAATGACGTCACTTCTGGTATCGCGTTGTAAACGTGCACTGTGCATTTCAGTCATCCGCAGACGCTCAAGGCAGGATCACGTACCTTATTAAGGTCAGTGTGAGGCTGGTGTACGCACCTACTATATAATATTACCGGCTGTGAATTGTGAATTGGTGTAGTACAATTTTGTCGACACACATTTTAAATGATATAGTTTCTGAACAAAGGAGGTGAAACACACACACACAACATTGACCAAAATCATTATTCTATTTTTATTGTTACTTAGCGCGTTGGTGTTATTTTGCAAGTATGCAAGAATGTATAAAATATCGAAAATAGAGTAGACACTTGTTGTAGCAAATTTATGCTTAGCCATCATTTGTTTAATTGTACTAACAAAAGTATGAAGTTGCACAATTGCATTACTAGTAGGCTGTGAATTTTTCGAGGAATATTAATTTTAAATGTAGTTATTTTAAACGTATCTTTCTATATATTTCATGGAAAACATGCAGTGTACAAGTTTTTGCTTCTTCAAAGTTGACAAATGTATAAAAATCTGCGATCTATATATTACTTTGAATAGCTTAATTAACGAAAAGAAAGACAAAAACATTTGAATTTCAGTGACTTTGAAATTGGTTCGCATTAAGATATTATCTTCGCGTTAAGATATTATTCTTATCTTAAATTTTTTCAAACAATATCTCGATATTAGAAGCATGTTTGTTCGCATTAGAAGATCGTGGAATTCAATTCTTTTTCATCGCGATTTCTGTAATTACAAGAGCAACGAGAGAAACGAGTTAAGAATAAGAGTTGACAGAAGTTTCGAACGATTATTCATCATCGTTATCATATTATTCTTTCTTAGACACGCTTTCATTTAAAAATAACCGATGACGAAATTTCCTACATGTTTATTCGTAGCCGCGCTAATTCG